AAACAAATACAATGAAATAAATTTATCACTAAACTTTTAATTAAATTATATAATATATTTAAGATATTTTTGATTCGTAATTTTATGTGAAATATTATTCAAATTTACAAAAATTTGAGAAACAAAGTAATATATTCTTATTGATAAAATGTTTACCTACATATTTTAATCATATAATTTGCAATATACAAATGTAAACGATCGATTTTCCGATCTATAAATATGACATGATATTAAATTAAATAATTTTCGTAAGAAAATATATAATAATATTAATTTTCTGTTTTCGTCAATTGCAATAGATTTATAATAATAAAAAATTCAGTTTTTTTTAAATCATTTTTTGTACATTAAATTAATCCAGATATTAAAACATTATAATACATCTTATATACTTAATCATTATTTTCTAAATGAAAAATATTTACAAAAAAAAAAAAAAGAAAATAAATTATCGAAAAATATATATCATATTAATTTTTTTCATGAAGTGAAACATCTACTTTTCACTTATTTTAATTTTTTTTTAAATTTAATCTTTTAATAAATTTAGGATATTTAATATTTATTTGTCATTTTTTATATTAAGCATTATTTATAATTTTTATGAAATAAAAGAAAATCTTTTATAGATATATTATGTATATTTTGAAATTGTTATTGAAATCAATATAGTACATATTTTTGAATATTTTTTCTAATAAAGGAGAGTCTTTTTAAAATAAAGTTTACGATAACCGGCGGATATATTTAATATGGCGTCCTTTAGGTATTATGGTAGAAATTTTTATAACTGCGCTTGCGTATACTATACATTGTTGATAAATTGACATCAGGAAAAAATATAAGATCTAATGAAATAAGTCAATTTACACAAATATATAGTCAAGTCACATATTCTTATAGCTGAATTCATTATTAATTACTACTAATAATATATATCAACATTTAGTGAGGCAAATGGCTTATTACTCTCATTCACAGGTTATATCAGCAACGTATAATAGATACTACTACAAGATATTTCCAGTATACATATTGACCTCATCATCTATGTATTCAGAAAATTTTCACTGCTATTTACAAAATTATAATTTCATTTTGAAAAATTTTGTTAAAATATTAATTCATAAAAAATGAAATATTAAAATAAAATAAAATAAATGAAAAAATCAATCAAAATAATTTAGAAATTGTTTTTAGAAACTAAACATTAATAATGCTTTAATTCAAAAACAGTTACTACAAACTTTTTTATTAAATTATCATTATAAAATTAAAGAAATCAAACAACTATATTTTAAGAATTTATATCTATAATACAAATTTTCATGTTAACTTTATAAAACTTTTATTATAAATTATTATATCACAGTAATAGTAGTAATGGTCATAGTAATCATTAATCTAAGATTTCAAAACAAATTTATAACAAATTTATTTTTGTAATTACTTTAAATTTAAAATTTTATAAAATTTTTTAAATTTTATTGAATAATAAAAATTTAATATATCAATAAAACTATAAATATATCAATAAAAAAAGTTTAAATTAATTTCTAATTATAAAGTAATTATAATTAGAAATAAACTAATAAAGAATATAAAAAGGTTTGATAAATTTTTAATACTACAAAAAGATTGAGCAAATTCATAGAAAGTATGATAATTCAATATAAATAAAGAAATACTTTGAGAATAACATACCGAAAATGGTGTTGTTGGGGTTCATGGCAACTTGATTTTTGGCAGCATCGCCGATTAATCGTTCAGTTTCCGTAAATGCAACATAGCTAGGTGTTGTACGATTTCCTTGATCATTAGCGATGATTTCTACTTTTCCATGCTGGAATACGCCAACACAAGAATAAGTAGTGCCAAGATCAATACCAACTGCAGGTGCTTTAGCCATCTTTGCTTTTCTGTAAAAATATGAAATGAAAATTTAATTTGTAAAAAAAAAAAATTTGAGATTATTTCTAATATGAATGTTGTATCAAATATTACAGATGTCAAACAAAGATAATGGGAACACACCTTTCTTCTTTGTTCGCTTGGTAAAAATTCGCTTTGTAAAAATCTCTTCGTAGGACAGAGAAGAAGTTCTTCGATTGACGATTCGCAACGTGAGTGAAGAGCCCGCATCCGGCGCTCTGTATATATTACCTTCCCAGAGGACGCTTCTGGAATGTTCTTCCTACTCTAGCACATTCTATCAACCAATCAGAAATTAGTTTCTGTTAGACTTCAATGATTACTGGATACACGCCACGAACTACGTGTATCAATAGTGGTATTTTATTTGGTTATCGATCGATCCAAAGATTTCATATATAGAAATATTTAAAAATCTCATTCTTTGATAAAAATTATTTTAAACTTTTGAAATTATTTTTTATATTACTGATATTCAAATAAAATAATTTTTTATGTAATTTTTGGCTAGAATAATAAATAATACAGAAGTGGATCATAAGGAACGTTAAAAAAAATCTAGTTACTACTTAATTCTAGAAGGTGTGTAGTAGTTACACATACACATGTATGCATATATAAAATTTATATCTATGCTTGGCTATGAATCGCACGTTTTCAAGGTCCCATAATTCCTGTAATATCTATAACCTTTATAATACACGTGTTCAATTTTTAATGATGTAATTCTTAATATAAGTAAAATAATTATTATTTTACATAATATTATTAAAAAATCGACATTTTTTTTTATAACAGTAGATTTAATAGTAAATACATAAAATAATACTTGATATAAAGGTAATATCAATGAATCATAACAATATATCACAAATATAATAATGAAATGTCCAATAAAAATTTTATATGATTCATAAAAAAGAAAAAATATGTAGAGATATTTTAATAATTTTTAAATACATATGTAAATATTTAAATAAATAAATAAATCGAAATTTTTATTATTTAATAGTATTTATAAAACTATTTTTATAAATAGAAATTTATTATCGAATTTTATTTAAAATAGCATAGAATTAAAAATAGAAAAAATTTATTTATATAAAATTTTCTATCTTTTACCATGCAATAAAATTTATAAATTTTTTTGAAATCTATATTGCGTATATAAAGAACATGACATGTACATTTTGCGTCAATTGTGACGCATGTATACATGACTTAAAAGATGTGTACATATATGTATATATATGTATATATAACACTTTAATACAAAGATTAATTAAAAATTATATATTAAAAAAGTTTAAAAAATAAAAACAATAAAATAAATGTAAAAAAAATTGTTTTTACTTTAATTTATTTATAAAAAACATCAAAAAATTAATATATAAAATTTTATTTTATAGAAAATATATATTAAGAAAATTATATTATAAAATATTTTATAATATAATATAATATAAGTATTTGATTTTCTTATAAGAAATTTAATTTCATTTAATAATAAAAATATAAAATTATGTAAAAAGATTTCATGTAAAATTTATTTATCGATATCAATTATTGAAATGTATTTAATCACAATATTGTGATAAAAATAATATTTATAAGTTCTAATTTGTCAAGATATTGTATAAATTCATTGAATATTATTAAAATTTCTTTTGGCGGGTACAATCTATGCGACAAAGCACAGTATAAAATCGATGATCATAAGCATTGCAGCAGTGTTCCGTAGAAACTTCCAGTATATTCTTGCTTTATGCCATATCCGTTCAATACGCTGTTAATACTACGCGAGTGTGTTCAAGACATTTCTGCGTGTACTTTATTATTTATTAAAGGCAATTTGGAAATAATATACTTTTGTTGTATATTTTATATCGAAAAAATATATATTTGAACGATTTTTTGAATGTTTATATGATGAATTTGACTTTTATCTAAAATATAATTTTATTTTTTATTAATCAAATCTCATTTTCTTTGTTATATTATTTTATATTTTTTTATTTTCTAAAATAATTGTTAAATTATATTAAATAAAATTAGTATTGATATATTGACAAAGTTAGTAAAATAAGTTATCGTATGTCATATTAATAAGATTTTATTTACCATTTTAACTAAGATTTTTAAAAAACATTTGATTTATAAAAGTTTATCTTATTTTGTTTTTAAAATTCATAATGAAGTTATCAAATATAATATAATATATATCAGTATATTGTAAAAAAATGAATTTATTTTTATTATTCATCTCATGATTAATATTTCCAAAAATTTCTAATTTATATTATAACCACTATAAGATTTATTTCCAAAAAAAAAAGCTCCTTCTTATAAACGGTAACGGTTTTCTGAACAATATCAGGATTTGAACGATATCAGGAGGATTTTTATATGGATATAATAACCGATAAATTTTATTGATATTTATTAAATATTAAATATATTGATAGAAAAAAAATTTTTAAATTTATAAATTTTATCTTTTACTTAAAAATATTAAAAAACATATTGCATAAGACGATATATTTAAAATTCTTTTGAATATCACAATAAAATATTGAAATATGAAAATATGAAATAAATAATTTCAGTAAATGGATACAAATTAAAAAAAAATTGGAGTCTAAAAAAAATGATGATTTAAAAAATTGCATTTAATAAAAATTTTTTACTTCAATATAATTATTTCAATATAAGAAAATTATTTATATTTTGTTACATACATACATACATGTATATAATTATATGTATATAATATATATATATAATTAAAACTATTTACTATTTAATATTAACTTAAAAAAAAACTTTAAAAAAATTTAAATTTTAACTTAAATAAAATTTAAATATATATTTGATTAGAAATTAAATAAATAATAAAAATGTTATAAGAATATAAGATAAATGTGTATAATATATTTAATTTTATTTTACTAAATGTGAATTAAATTTTGTTATATTAATTATTTTGTTATAAATTATTATAATTTAATATTTGTGATATATATATTTTTTTTATTAAATATATATAAATAAAAATGAAATATCGAATTTTATTAATAAATTTATCATTAAAGGCAGCTTTACATGTATACCGGCTACGTAATACTAATGTGACTGTTTGATAATACATAATTTGTGATTCAAGACTATGACATTTATTAACAAAACAGATAGGGTATAATATTTGGATATTATTTTATAGAATTTAATTTAATTGAATGAATTTGAAATTTCTTTATATGTAACATCAATATGTTGTTAACTTTGAATATCTTTCCACTTTAAATATAACCTCCTTTGCCGGTTACAAAAAATTGTAGTAAGTTATGATTATATTGTTATCGAAACAGTTGAACATTAATATATAATAAAAAGTATGACTGCGAGATGGGAAATATACTTTTTGACAATATCAATGTTATTGTTTATCGTTTGTGTACAAAGTTTGCAAAGTTTAGAAGTAATATATGCAATAAATGCTGGTGGAGATACACATACTGACAGTTATGGAATTCGTTATACTAGAGATCCTTTAATGAATAAAGTTGGAACTGCATCTGATTATGGCAAGCAGTTAATTATTGGTCGAGTAAATACTATTGACCAAATTTTGTATCAAACTGAACGTTATCATCATAGCACATTTGGATATGATATTCCAATAAATGAAGATGGAGATTATGTTATGATATTAAAATTTTGTGAAGTTTATTTTAACTCTCCTAATATGAAGGTAATATTTAATAAAAACTTTATCTTTATAATTATATTGTAATGCTTGTTGAATATGATTTTAAATGATTACATTCTTTAGGTATTTGATGTTGTATTAAATGGAGATCATACTGTTGTTACTGATTTAGATATCTTTGAGAGAGTTGGACGTGGTATAGCACATGATGAATATATATCATTTAAAGTTCAAGCTGGAAAATTAATATATAATGATGAAGAATCTGACATATTAGCTGGAAAAATTAGAGTTGAATTTATAAAAGTAGTATACTCATAATATTTGATATAATTTATAATATTTGATTCATTTTATACAATTTAACTGAAATATTAATTTTAATTAATTAATTGTAGGGTTATAGAGACAATCCAAAGATAAATGCTATTGCAGTAGTGAAAGGAAATATAGAAGGTATTGTTAAATTTGTAATATTTGTAAACTTTTAAAATAAATGTAACAGTTATTTTTTAATATTTTTTTAGATATACCACAATTGGGCCCAATTCCTCAAGAACCAGAAGAATATCATAATATACAAGAAGATGAGGAAGAATCTACAGTTCGTAGTCGACATACAAGTGGTCCTAGAACTCCAGATCCTTATTCAATTGATGATTCTTCAGTAATGTTACCAGTCTTTGTAGCTCTTGGGGCATTTATTCCTTTATTATTTTGCCTATGTAAATTATAGGTGATAAAATTTTGCACATAAATGCCTTGTACTTAAAAAATATAATTTAATCAGCTTAGGTAAGTTTAATGCGTGGAAATTTGCCTATGTTGATTATGTAAATAGTGAAAATATTTTTGATTTTAAATTGTCACCATTTATTATTAAAACTGTTTATAATTAATTTAATCAAATGAACATATCTATATATGTTTTTGTACAATAAATAATTTAAATTAGGAATGAAGTTAAAGATATAGAAAAGGTGAAAAGTTGTGTAATCATGTGACTTTTGTTACTGTTTTAATAATGTGTTCACTTGTGATTTATTTAATTTTTATTATTAGATATGGAAAATAATTATTTGCACAAAAGTTTACACATCACCTTTTCTTTCACTATTTGATTTTGAATGTACTACAAAGAAATATATATTTATAATTATAATATATATTTATTAATTAATTAATTTTAGATAAAGCTTATAATTTAACATATGTCTGAAATTTTTATTATCAGAAATTTTAATTTTCAGAAATAATATTACAGGAGAAATTAAGGGGAAATAATATGTAAAGACATACAGTACAATAAATCTAAGTACTTTATTTTAGTACATGCACATAAAATGTTATAAATGAAATTTATGATTAATTTATTGTAGAAAATTAATGAAATTATTATTTTAATTATATTTCGGATATCTTTTATGTAAAAAATTTAATATACTTTTATACACTTTGTTAAAAATGAAAATGAATCCAACAGTCCATAAAATACCAAAGTATCTGAATTTTTTGCAAATCAGAAAAAATAAAGCTGTTATTATTATTCAATAGAGTCATTTTTTTCTAATATATATTTTTACAGTGTCCTACACCTTATTTTTATTTAATTTTTATTTATAATTTATCTTTTTTTTATATTTTATATAATATTAATTTATATACATCAATTTAATTATTCTTTTCTTCCTATTTCTTCCTACTATCATAAATGACAATAAATATTATCTATTGTGTCATATGTTAACAAGGAAAATAGAAATAAGAAAGAGATAAAAATGAAGTCAAAATTTGGAAAAATACAATGCCATTTCTACAATGTATAAATAAAAATTATAAAGAATTATAAAGAAAAAACAAAAAATACTAAAAGAAGAATAGACATAAAGTAATTAACTGCTAGCACCATCTCTTGACGAAAGACATAAGAAGATATGAAATAATTGAAATTTAGCGTCATCTCTCGAATGTTCTATTTTATCTTATTTTTAAAGATTTTGAAAGATTTGTTGATCAAAAGATAGCACTAATAATTAATTTTTATCCTATCTCTATCTTTCTTCAACTATTTTCTATTTTTATTATGAGTTTCATTTGCGCCATTCTGAAGATGGCGTTGAATTTCAAATTTTTATTTTATCTCTATTTCTGTTCTATTATTTGCTTTCCTTGTCTATACTTGTTCTGTGAAATTTATGCACTTAAAAAATGATTTCCATATCTAATGAACTTTACGTTTTCTTTGTTTAATCTATTGATTTAAAATTTCAATCTATTTTATCTAATTTTTCTATTGTAATATGTAGATTTTATATGTTTATCTATTTTCATATATATATACACATATTTTAATATGAATATAAGACTATTTTAACTAAAAGTCTTCGGACTCATTTATATAAAAATACATTAGATGATACGATAATATTCTCTACCTAATTTATAGTAAAATTTTGCAAATCTATCTTATATCTCGTTTTACATCTATTTTATATATTGTCTATGTTCATATATAAAAAACGAAGTTTGTGAAAGTGTCATAAGAAATCAGTATTATCGCAAATCCACCTCAGGATGCGGTTGATGATCGATCGTATGATTTGCACCGATGAACAGAAGAAAGCACTTACAACAAGTTCAATTGACCGTCGAGTACTGCGAAAGGTAGTACGTACATATGTGTACGTACGACTGGCTTGTTCTTAATGGGAATAAGCTCATTCATCCTATATAAAACGGAAGATCACGTGACCTCTGATCGTCTAGGCCTTTGATGTATGGTCATCACTGGCAATTAACTGTCAATTCAAGGCCGTGCTTATGCATCCGAAACCCCGAGCCCTAAGTCTCGAGTGGCAATCATCCCTTGGGAAAAAGAATCTAAAGTGCGACCTTATATTTTTATTTGAGATATATTTGAGTAATCCTAATTTTTTTTTAATTTGACGAATTAGTCATTCATCATTCGTTTAAAAAAAATTCTTATTAATTTATTAAAATGTTTGTCAATTTTCTCTTATATATTATTTTCAAAAATGTACAAATAAATATAAATAAATAATAAAATGATAAACGCATTAAAAATAAGTATTCTTAAAAATTATAATGATAATTTCAAATCAAAAAATCAAAATGGTATCAAAAAATCTTAATGATATGAACATTTTTAATTTGATCGATATCGACTGATAATGAGTACTTTAAAAACAAGAAATATAATAATTTTAAATGTATAGTATAACAGTGATTATATAACTTAATTTATAATTTCAAATGCTTGAAAATTTTTAATGATGTAAAAAAATATTTAATAATATATATAATTCATTATGTTTAATTTTTTTTTTTACAAACATATTTATTAATTGTATTTATATGAAAATCAATCATAAAAAAATATGTTACTTCATCATAATGGATCATAAAATGAATTAAAAAAAATAATTCATAATTATAAAAAAAAGTTGTTCTCATAATATTATATTATAGGCTGACTATGATATACTTTTACATTAAATGATTTATTGATAAAAAAGAAAAATTTGTTCTACTTTTAAAACAAAAAATAAATCATATCAATATATCATTGATAATAGTTCTGATAATGGATTTAATATTCATAATAAAATAAAATTGATATTATTTGGCTATGATACTAGATTTATAAATATCAAAATTTTGACTTAATTGACTAATTGACTAACACATTTTGACTTAATATTGTTTATCTTCAATTCTCAATTCATAATACATCAAGATATCCGACATAATTTTACAATGCAAAATATTTTGCTTATTTTTAAAAATATTAAAAAATATTTCAGATACAAATTTTCCCCAGAGTTTAGGAGAATATTATTTTATTAAGACTTGGCAAAAAAAATTTTTTAATATTATATTTTTTATATAAATTTTTATTTAAATTTATTTTTTATATAATTTATATAAAATATATAAAAAATATAAATTTCATTTATAAAAATTTTATCTTTTTTTTTATTTATCTTTTGCAACAATTATTTTTATACTTATCTCTTGCAGTAATTATTTTTTTGAATTTTAAATCATTTTTCTAAGAATTTTCTTAATTATAAAGATACTTACTTATACTTATCTTTTACATATTTATTTTTTACAATAAAAGTCATTTTTTTGCAATATTAAATTTTTTCCAATAATTTTTTAATTCTATAAGATTCAGGAATATGCTAAATGATTTTATATTTGAAATTTCATTTGATTTTCATGTGAAATTCCATGTAATATAATTAAATTAAATTGCAGATACAATTTTTTTCTCTTTTTTTAATAACAATATAGGAAATAATATAATAACAATATTTATTTGAGCAATACATCCTCATTAATTTGATTTCTTCTTACAAATCTGTCTTCTCGCAATTCGGTATCATAATTCGTGTAACTATTTTAACTAGACAATTAATGTAGCATATTAGGAAATTGTATCAATGAATTGTGATTGCCGATTATTAGTGTCTACAAATGTGGATAGAGAAACTAAGAAGGCAATTGTTTCATTCATAACTCGAAGAAACTTGATCGAAATTAATCAGATATATCAGTGTTTTTTTCAATAATATTTCATAGATGATTAATGTTGATTTCAACGTTATCATTATGTAACTCAACAAAGATTCTGAAACAGGAACTGAATTGTTTCGCTGAAACAAATAATAGAGTTCGACGGACAGTTTATTCCGGTCAGATTCAGAAGTGCAACAGAACTGTCTGTGATTTTAATAAAGCACGTACCAGATGTGAGTATTAGTGGACAGAATACGTATATGAATTCAAGTGGATGCCACTAGCTTAATCGTAAAATGTGGCCTGCGTTGCCGAGCTACATTCAACGTGGCCGGTACATTTTATTAGCTAGCTACGCCAATTCTAATGCAGTTCTTCTCGTAAAAATGTAGCGACGTACACGGTCTTTTATTCGACATACATTATTCCATTAGCTTATTCAGTTTTCTGTTAATGATAGCTAGATTGGACAAGAGTTTTATTATGATTTGAAGTTGTTGAAATGGTTTTAACTCTTATATCGTGTATGTAATAAAATAAATATAAATATAAATAAAAATATAGAAATAAAGAATATAATTATATATTTGCAATTTTCTGTTAAGTAAATTAAAAATAATTTATATGACGAGTTAATTTCGAAATTATTGAAATGATATTGAACTTTCATTTTTATTTATATTATATTGTAGATAAAATAAATATAAATCAAAATTTAGAAATTGCTTATAATATTTAATGTTATTTATTTCTGAACTTTATTAAAATTTAATATTTATTGGTGATCGTTTCAAATTACATAATGCATTGTGAGGTTAAAATTGTTGTATCCGCAGATGAGACATCTAGCGGTGAGATTTGATTCAAACAATGCTGTACCTTGCTTTAGTTTCAATATTTACAATTGAATGTCATTTGATGGTAAAGAAAAATGAAAAAATATATTTTCTATTTAATATCGCTAATTAATATCACTAATTAATATCGCATCAATAAGATATATTTTATACACTTATTATCAAGATATATAAACGGATATATCATATAGCTTAATAAAAAAAAGACGAAAAATATCTTGATTATAGCGTCATATGATTAACATTGGAGATATCTCATATAAGAAAATTAATTATATTTTAAACTTCTTCTATAAATTTTGGAAAATATTATAATAATTTGAGTTTATGATAAGATTGCAATTTTTATGAATCTATGTAAGTATCATTCTAATTTTTCTCAATGTAAATTTCAGAAAATTTTTTATGCATTATTATTTAAAATTTACTTCGGATAAAAGATTTATATATTAAATTTATACATTTAAAAAATATAAAAGCTATCTTCTTAAAATAAATTGAATATCAGTCAAAATAAAAAAAATTAATATTTTTTTGAAGCTTGTGCAACTTTGACCTGAGATATATTTAATCAGTAGACTGTAAATATATTAAAATCAAATTTATATGAATACAATTAAAAAATAGAGTTTAAATAAATTTTGTTTTATTCTTCAAATATAAATATAAATATATACAATTATTATACTTTAAAAATTCTTATTACCTTTTTATAATTTTTGTACATTTTGTAGATTTTTGAATGTTCAAATTTTATATAAATGCTTTCACAATTTTATAATTATTAATAATTAATAAATTATTAGACTGATAGATATTTATATAGAACGAAGAGAATTTGTTCATTATTAAAACATTATTAAAAACATTTTATGTATATTATTTAATATTTTAAGAATTTATTTATTTTTTGTTCAATTTACGTTAAGTTATATATATAGACTACATTAATAATGAAATTATGTTTAACAGA